TGATAAATTTAAGTCAAAAAATTAATTAATAATACGATTATTTTTTTTATAATTTATTATTATTAATATATAATTTATTATGTTAATCTCAATAAAATTAAAAATAGTGAGGAGGGATTGTGATAATTAAAAAAGTTAATCATCTATACACTGCCAGTGTAAGGTTTTTTTTACACTGACAACCAATTATATTTTTTAATTGTGTCATGTCACTATAAACATATTTACTTTTAACAGTGACATGACACAATTAAAAGATATAATTGGCTGTTAGTGTAAATTTTTTTTACACGGACAGTGTATATGTGATTAACTCTAATTAAAAATATGTAAACTTAATCATTTTTATAATCTTTTTTATCTTTAAAAAAAATAAAACTCAATAAGACTAAAATATTAAAATCTCAATGTATCATAATAAAAATAGAATATAATTTCTAATTATAGTCAGATTTATAATATGAGAAAAATGACATAAGACATATGAATTTATAATATTTATAACTAAATAATTTAAAATTAATTTTTTTTATATAATTATTTAAAGTATATCTTAATTTTTGTGAATGACTTTAATATATCAATTGATTTTTCTGTAAATGAACACTCAATTTGGGATATTCATGAACGTTTTAAAATGTATATATAATAAATATGGGAAAACGAGCTTTTAGAATGTGGGGCAATAAAATTGGATTATGAGAGATTTTACTTCTCTCTCTTCCTTAAAAAAAAATTGAATAAATAAAATACTTTTCCCCTTCAATCAAATACTACTAAATTTTGAAAGAGTATCCGGTTAACTTTAACAACCTATTTATCATCCAGATTTGCTTTCTGATCTGGCTAACTGGTCCAAAATACTACGATTTCTCTTTTTTTTTTTTTTTTAAAGCGTTTGCACTCATTCATCTAGAAGCAACTGATATGGAATTCAGTGAGCAAACTATATATCTTTCTTCAGTCTTCCCATGGCCACTGCCCCACTACCCTAAATATAAAAGCAAAAGGACTGGAACAATTATTTTTCATGTTCTTCGTCAAACTTTGAAGAACTACAATTAGAACCCAACTTTGAATTGTCAGCATTTAGAAAGAGAAAAGGCTTTCAAAGATTTTTATTATCAAAGAACATTCAATACCAAACTTGGTTTTGTCTTCCTCTCCACACTGTTCCATAAACACCCAACATGTAAAAAATAACACAAATTTACAAACATGTTCACTTTTCTTGGTCAAGATTCAACCACGTGAAACTATTATGGCAACCTTTCTCTATTCTTCAAACATCGTATGTGTATATAGTTGTGTACTCCACTTATACTTTTATTTAAAAACTCCAATCTTAACACCTCTTTCCAGCACGAGAAGGATTAAAAATTGTAGAGAATAATGTATTGGTTGGGTGGCCAATCCGCAAATGCAACATGTCATTTTATGAAATATTAAAAATGTCATAAATTGATTTTAAATAGAATATCATGAAAGTAAAAGTCCTATAAAGGTCAAAGACTTAACGGGCACCAAACAATTGATATAAAAAATAAAATAAAATAGGCAAATAATTAAAAAAAAAGAAGAAGAAACAAATGAAAGTGGGGTGAAAAGTCAGAATCAAAGACTGGTATAGGACTTCTAGTAACTGTGGGACCCACCTTTTTTAATCCACACCCGCTCTCATCGGATGGTGACGTCATACACGTCGGAATTCTTCCAAATATTCCATAAAGATTACGTCATATTAAGAGAAAATGACGGCCTTGATGACGTCATTGCCAAATGTGAATGGGCCTGGCATATGCTGACCTGTCATGCCCCCTTGCTTTTGCCATTGATTTCCCCACTAATTACAAACTTACCCCTCCCAATTTTATGATATTTTTCAGCAACACTTTGTAGAAATAAATTCATATAGCTTCAAGTTCTTTTAATTAAAAAAGGTTATATGAACTTCACTCTCTAAAAATAAGTTCTTCCTTAAAGAAAATGTTATCAAACTTAATTTTAATTCAATATAACTTTCAAATATTGAAAAATTCAAATTAAGAATAATTAAAGTCAAGTTTTACCTTATAAATTAAATTGATGTTGTCAAATGAAGTCCCGAGTATATTAGTGATATGCTTGTTTTTGTTATTGTTAAGATAGTGTTTTAGTAATTTTATGCTAATAATAAATATATTTAAATGACTCAATTATGTTTTTGCTTAGAATTATTGCACTATTACCATATGTCAAGTGGAAATGTTGTGGACATGATATGTGTTGTAGATAAAATTCTTTCTGTCATTTTATTCAAATTGCTTATTAGTTAAAAACCTCTTTCACACTAGTTAGTCTCTGATATATTTGATTCTTTTCCCATTTAGTTACTACAAAAAGGAAATGATTTGCATCTTTCCATATTCTGTCCCTCGCTTTTCCCGTAAATGAAAAGATATTTTTCCTAATTAGAAAAAAGATCATTACAGTTTAAAATGAACCACAAAGTGAAGTTCCGTATTAATTACTACTTCTATTTTTTTAATAGTCCTTTAAATTGTTATACACAATCCAAAAAAACATAACAATCTTTTTTTATTTTTTATACACTAATTTAATGTTTTTTTATTATGCTTTTTCATTTTTCACAATAAATACATGTTAGTTGTAAGTGTAAATTAATTAAAAGTTAAGTGAGAGGAAATAGTATAACTGAAAAAACAATAATTAATGTAGTATTAAATTTTAAAAATGAAAAGTAAATAAAAAATTATTAAAAAATCAACATATTAAAAAGGAACACAGTAGTAATTTATGATCTTATAATTAAATTCATAATAAAATTATTGTCATTCTATATTTGGCGTAATGGTGTGCAGCTGTTTCACAACACCAGACAGGTCATGAAATGTATCCCAAATCAATCTCAAACACTTCTTCTTGTTTTTTTTTTTTTGTTATATAAAACTTTTTCTTGTTTTTTTTTCTACATTACAATTTATAAAGTTGAAATAATAATCCTAGTTGCAAAACACGGTTGAACAAAGCTTAAATATAGCCATCGATTCTCAGTACAACGACAGCATAGAGATCCAAAATTCTTTTTCTTTTTCTTCACAAATTACTTAATTTCCATAATACCTACCTACTTTAAATAGATTAAAGGCACACGTATGTTTGCCACTTGAATGTAATTGTCATGACAAATCAATTGTAATTTCACTCTTTGCCCATGGAAAACCACCCATGTTGTCAATTATTCGGATTGTAAATATTGTTTTTGTCAATTTTTTGTCACCGTTGTCAATTTCTGTCGTGTTCGTTGATCTCGTTTTCTTTCCAACTCAGGTGCCACGCCTAAATCTTAACAACTGAAAAGGTAACATCACACTATATATTGTATATTCATTCATTTTAGAAAATCCGAGATTAATCTTCTGTACAAGATTTTGTGTTACTTTATAGATGGGTTCCAAAAGATTTTGAACCAATTTTGACACAATCAAATCTCATAGTAAAACTTTATACATAACGTGTCGTTTTAACGTTAAACTCCACAATCAAATGGGCATCAACATGTCCGCAGTCATTTTCATCCTCCTTGATTAGTAGCATAATAACAAAAAAAAAAAAAAACTAATTGAGTGTTCAATTTTATTACACATTTTTCTTTGTTAAAGCAAATCAAAATGACAAGGATCGATCATTAATGTGGAGAACACGCGAGATTATGAAAGAAATAAGTATTTGTCCTTTTTAATAAGGGTTACTTGACTCCTACATTAATTGAATTATTGAAGTAAGCCATACACATTATAAATGTTTGCAATATTTCTTCGTCTTTGTTATTGTCTAGCGTCGTGATTCATGTTGCGAAAAACTAGAGGAGAAAAAAAGAAAGACAGATTTTCTTTTGGTGCTGTGATGGGACTAGCTAGGTCCCAAATAAAACAAGAGGACTAAAAACTTCGTGTTATGATCATCATCATAAGTTATATTGTGAAGATTAAATTAAAATGTGATAATGACAAATTAATGTTTTAATTTGTATTTAATTTAGTGCGTTTGGTGCAGTACGTGTTGGGAAAGTTCCTATTTCTACAAAAATAAAACATGTCAATTTGAGAAGGAAAAAAATTGCAGTAACTTTTACTTTGACGACGTGGACCCAGTTTCACAATCTAAACACGATAAATCAAGTGGTCCTATATACTGTTCTTAGTTTTTTTTTTTAATTTAAATTTTATAACATGATATGGAATTAAAATATTATTAATTTTTAAAATTAAAAATTTTAAAATATGTCATGTACAAATTAGCTGGATCCATAAACATTGAATTACCTAATAATTTCTCATCCAAACGTGTTATTAATGTATTTTAATATAGGACTCATTTTCTTTACTCACTTTAATACTATCTTATCTTTTATATAAAAGATCGTTTTCACTTTATTGCTTATCCATTTTTATAAGATGTTTTTTTAATTGTCTATTGTTTACATTAAACTATTAATTAACTATTATTTTGTCTATAATTCCACTAATTAATCAATTAATACTTTTTTTTGACAAAAAATAATAAATATAAAAAATTAATAAGATAAACTTTGTTTTACTATAATTATGATTAGAGAAGATGAGCAAACATAGTTTTCAAATCATTAATATTATCTTTTCAACTATTAATTAATTAGGTGCGAAACAATTAAATAAATATAAAAATAGAGAGAAGGAATCCACTCATTCCAAAAATAAGTCTTAATAGATAAGTTTTGATAGATAAGTTTAGGGTTTAAGGTTTTAGATTTTGGGTTTTGGGTTTAGGTAGACAAGTCTTGATAGATAATTTGTCTTGGTAGACAAGTCTTGATAGACTTATTCTATTTAATAACTCATATTTTATATCAAATTTGAATGATTCAACTATTAAATTAGAAATAGTTAATGTATAAATCTATAATATTAATATGATAGGAAGTGTATGATTGGAAGGAAGATGTATTATTAGGTTTTAGAAACGATGGTTAGTGAAGTGCAATATTGTAATTATGAAGAAAAAGTGATGGCAATGAGAGAGAAAGGGTGGGAAAGGAACTAAGGAAGTGGAGTGTTGTTCCTGTTCCCATTTATTCGATAGATATATGGGAAGTTGAAAACCAAATGGGTTGACAGAAAAACAGAAACATGGGAAGCAAGAAGAAGTACGAGGAAGAATCAGGCGTGGTGGTGTTATCCCATTCCCAACCCCAATTCCAATCAGAGGCACTACCCTTCAACGAGAACGACCCACAGGACATGGTAATATACCAAGTCCTCAACGAGGCCAATGCCCTCGCTCTCACCAACATCATCCACCAACCTCAACTGGGCCTCCAGCCCACCAGGCCCATAGCCAAAAAACACTACCGAGGAGTCAGGCGCCGCCCCTGGGGCAAATACGCCGCCGAGATTCGCGACTCCGCCCGCCACGGCGCCCGAATATGGCTCGGCACCTTCCAAACCGCCGAAGAAGCCGCCATGGCTTACGACCGCGCCGCTTTCAAGATGAGAGGCTCCAAGGCTCTCCTCAATTTCCCCGCTGAAATTCTCGCTCCTTCTCAATCCACTGCTGCAACCTCTTCCTCCTCTAAGGTAAATAACGATTCCTCTCACTCACAAACCACCACCACCTAGACTAAATGTTGTACTATTCTATTTCTACAAACCATCTCTTTTTTTCATTATTATTTCCATCTCTCTCTGTCATAAAGGACAACAAAAATTAATTAATTGAAACCCTTCGTGTCTTTTTACTTTTTACGCTTTGTTTTATTTTATTTATTAGTGTCTGTTATGGCTAATAATGGGTCCCCAGAATCTGTACATTTAGATAGTGGCCTATACATTAACAGCGATGCAACAATGTCAAGTGGATCTCCTTTTCTGAACGCCTGTTTCATTCTCAATGGAGGCTCTAGTTAAACTGCTCTACTCAATATTTGTTAGGGATGAATGTCACATCATCTATGCATTCATTAATATTGAATTTTGAGTTTGTATTTTATTATATTGCAAAAATCAATATCATTGTCTCACCTAACGACACTAACAGAACAAAAATCGTTTTCCATTTCTTCTTGTCAAGCTCGTGCTTTCAATGCTATCCCCTCCTCCTTTTTCTCTAATTCTTTATCCTTTGAAATTTAACTAATTTCTCTCTCAAATTTTGATTTGAGAATGAAAAATTAAAGACTAAAACTCGTTTTTATTTTTCTTCAACTGTATTATAAATGTAAAGTATTTATCATTTTGTTGATCACTGGTTTTGTTTGTTTGAGAACTTAGTTAACAATCATTAAGAGATATTTAGATCAAACTTAAGGATTCAAGCTCAACTTTTTTTTTTTCCAACAAAATATTAATAAATTTTATCTTAAACTGTACTTTTGGTTTTCTTATTTTTGTTAATTATTAATTTTAGTTTTTTATTTTAGAATAAAAATATTTAATTTTCTAATTCTATTTAACATTAATGATTGATTCATAACTTTTTCACTATTTAGTAATTTGACATTTAGAGATAAATAAATATTTAAAAAAATCATATAAATGTAGTTCAATAAAAAAAATAAGTATCTATTACTCATCAAAATATGTTTTTTTTATTTTTTTTTATTTTCATTTTTATTTTTTAATGTTATGTCATTAAATATCACATTATTAAAATAATAATATGTCATTGTTAATATTAAAGATAAACCATGGTATGATCAAAATTACTTATTTTTAAAGTTAGAAAACTTAAATCTTTATTTTGGAATAGAAGACTGAAATTATTAATTAAAAAAAATTGATCTTCCCTTTTAAAACTATAAATTTGTTTTAATTTAAGAATATAGCTCTCCATTCAGCCCAAGAAAGTGACCGTTGGCCACAATTAACCGGTGAAAGTTCTAAAAAGATGAAAAGTTCAGTGCAGACATGAAAGATTTTAAGCATTCCCTTATTGCGTGTGAGAAAAAGTGATGGGTTACGGAGAATAAATTCTGAAGAACAATAATTATTAATATTGAAAAATGTTAAGTTTTAACACAAGTGCATGACAATTGTATATAATTTAGATTTATTTGTTTAGCAATTCGATCGGGTGCAGCCCAAAACTATTTGTATAAAGCCTTTATTTATTATTATTATTACTATTTTTTTATTTTATTTTTCAAACTTAATTTACCCAACACTCAAACATATATGACCGAAATACATATTTGCAGATTGGTTCGATGGATTTTGTTTTTTGTTTTTTTCATCTACCCATTATGAAAATATGTATTTCAATCGAATATGTATGCGGAGAAGTTAACTTGATCATGTCAGTTCTATTTTAGACGTTACATTTAAAATATTCTCTCTCTCTTAAAATTTTGATATTAGAATAGAACCAAAATTAAATATGATGTTTTATTTCCTTCATTTTCTTCTCATTTTCTAAAAAAAATCCATCCCCTCCATTTCTTTCTATCCAAATACAAAGTAAGTAGTTATTTGAAATAGTTTTTAATTCTTCAAATTCTTTTAAATTTAAAATTATTATTTTTAATCCTTATAATTTTTAAAAATTTTGTTTTAATCCTTAGATTACCAATAACATATCTAAAAATGACAAATTAAGACGATTATGCAATGTCAATTAGATTTAATGTGATATTTTTGCTAATAGAGATACCGATAGGTAGATTTTCTATAATAATATTTGATAAGTTTTTAAACAAAATTTGAATATAAGAACTAAAATAATATTTTTTTTAAATTACATGAATTAAAAACAATAATTTTAAATTTAAGAGATCAAAAACAAATTTATCCTAAATTTAAGAGACTAAAAACATATTTAGATCTTTAAAATATTTTCAATTAAAATAAAAAAAAATGAGTGAATGAAATATATAAGATGCAATATATGATTCAACGAATTGAGATACATAAAAAATATATTATATTTTTGAATTATCATTTTACTGATGTGAATGTAAACCGAATTTATCGATAATTAAATTTATTTATCAGTAGAAAACTTGGCTAACAATAAATTTTTTTAAATAATTTTTTTATTGTTAACCGAAATTTATTAAAAAATAAATTTTTTTGTGCAACTCTACTTCTTATTTAATGAGTTGACCAGTAATTTTATATTTTCAATAAATTTTAGTTATTATATAAATCATAAAAAAAAAGTATGTTGTTCACACTCCTTTTATTATAATCAAAATAATTATAATTAAGTTTAATTATTTTTTCCATATAGTTTATGAACATTACTTTTTAATCTCAATAATTAAAAGCATTCAATCTATATAAATATAGTTTATGAAATTATAGGAATTAAAAGAGTAATTGAATTTACAATTATTATTTTTTAAATAGATTACCAATTATGAGCATAATTGATTCTTGTATTGGGACCAATTCTTTCTGTATAATATACCTCACAAAACACACTCAATCTTTTTTATTGTACTTCAAAGACAATAAAAAAATATATTGAAATCTCCTTTTTTCATTCTTTTGAGGAACCCTTTTCTCATTTTGGAATGTTATATTTTCTCATTCTTTACAAGACTAATCATAAATCTCACCTTAAAAATGAAAGAAAGAAAAGGAAAAATTATGCGGAATTAATAGTGGTGGTATATGTGCCGTGAACATTGACATAACAAATTAATTAAAGCAAACAGGATTGGCCTAACTCGGAGCAACTTGTATATATGGTCCCCAAAGTGATCATCACTGATATCGCGACAATTTTATTCACCCAACTGTTAGGAAATAACGAGAGTTTTCTAAAGTCTTTCTTCCCATTTCAGGCTCATAATAATCAAGGTCCCCCCCAAAAATGAGAAAAATCAAATTGCAATAAAGCAATAAAGATGATTCATCAAGAATATCACTAGAAAGAAAGTTCCAAAGAGCTAGCTAGCTCTAAACTCAAACCAGAAATTATTTAATCATATAGAAAGAACAATCTTTTTAAATTAAGTTTTTGTGCCTTTGCACTAAGATCCAGAAAAACTAAACGGGTTATATATAATTGGGTCATGTACATGTTTGGTGTGGTGGTCCTTCATTTAAATGAAAATTACTGCAACGGTCTTAATCGACACCAATCTATTGCATGCACAGTCCAATTCTAAAGATACTTCCAATTGGTTTTTTTTGTCTTCTAAATGATTTAATATTTCACAGTGGCAGAATGAATTTCCTAAAAAAAAGTATTTTCATGTTTCTATGGTTTAAAGATAAATGTGCGACCGAAGAGGGATGGATTAGAAGGAATTATTACACACAACACAATGAACCAAAGTTTAATTTCTATCAAAAGAGTTGTTTATATTTAGTATTTGACGGGACTTAAACAAGATTATATATATAAGGGGTTGAATTTTTTAATAAATATTAACTAAACAATAAAGTATAATAGTTAAAAATATTATAAATTTCTTTTACCAAAGAATATGTATGATAGAAAAGATAGATAGAAGTAAAGTACAGACTAATCAATAAGCCTATTTTGTTAATAATATAATCACATTATTATGAACAATTTAATACTAATTGAACCATAACAATGGCTCCTAATAACACATATGATAAATGATTTAATAAAAATATGGGAAAAAATTGAATGTTTTTTTTTAATAAATAACACTGTGAGTTTTGACCTCCAACACACACATATATATCATTAGTCTTGAGTAGGGATGTCAAAAAAATTTGCATTCATAGACATTTCTGAATAAAATTCGCAATAGGTAAAAAATGAATATTGTATCCGTATTTGCGGATACTCGTACTGTTAGTATTCAATTTATCTAAACTTGTATAAATTTAATTTTATTTGAACTTGTATGAATAATTTAATTTTGTTTGGACTAAATAATTAAGTATCATACTTTATTATTTTTTATTTTGATTTATATATAATCATAATATTTTATTTTAACAATTTGAACTTTAAAATTATATGATTAAATGTTTAAAATTCAGTTTTTTAAATCCATTTATTTTTATTACTATAATTGTGAAGAATATTTAAATTTAAAATTTTATAATCTTCAAATTTTTTTATACAAATTTTATTTAAATTTTAGTTATATTCTTCAAACCTTTCTTTTATACAAATTTTTATAACTTTAAAAAGAAAAAAACATACAAATAACTAAAATGTATAATTAAAATATTTTGTTAAATATTTTAAAGATTTTTTAGTAAGTATCCATGTATATTGGTGAATATTTATAGATATTAAAAAAAAATATAATACTCACTCAACTGATATCTACATAAATATAGAGATAAAGACGAGACAAATATTTATCCGATAAAAAAATAGTGAAAAGTTACTGCCCATATCCCTTACATGACCTCATTTACATTCAATTATATAAATGTCAAAAATCTACATTCCAAAATGTTACTATACACATTAATCATGATCTTTTTAGGCATTTTATTATTCTGCCAAATCGTTAACATGGCAGTTTGAGGACAAATACAGCAAAAGATATGCAAAATATGAGACAAATCACTATAATATTTCTATATGTGACTAATCAACTATTGTAATGGTGAGGATTTTGTCAAAAAGAAGACAACAAACTGTCCAAGTAATCACTTCCCAAGTCCTGAAACACAAAAACACCTAGTTCTTTTTCTACCATGCATTCCAAGCCTGCCACCTTTTTTGTTGCAGATTGTTCATTCATGATATCATTAAATGCTTCCCTTTCCCTTGATCCTCTCTTCTTGATAGTTTTTTCTTTGTTCCCTATGCATGTGCATGTAAGACCATTTCCTTTGTGGTGGTCACATGATCCTAAAGCACTCGCAACCATCTCAAGTGGGAAATTAAGGTATGCCTTGGGACCCCTAATCCTCAAAGCAGCTTTGTCATAAGCTAAAGCTGCTTCTTCAGCAGTGTCAAATGTTCCAAGCCAAACCCTAGCACCTTTGTTGGATGAGTCTCTAATCTCAGCAGCATATTTACCCCATGGCCTTCTCCTAACTCCCCTGTAGTGTTTTGCAATTCTCTTATCTCTTCTCATGACACCATCTTCTTCCACCTTATTAGATTGATTAGTAGCACTTCTTCCAATTTCCAAATCGTTATTGCTAGAATCTTCTCTATTGCTTGCCTTAGGTGGAATAATACCATCCAAAACTTCTTCCCAGAAATCAGCTCCCATTGATATCCACCTCCCTAAACTTGGAAGCCTTTGTAGAATTTCCATGGACCCTTCTCTTTCTCTTCCATCAAGACTAGGCAATTCTTCCCAAGAGTTTGAAGATTCTGCTGCATCACCTTTTCTACCATCTTTTCTATCACTGCTCATGATTTTGGCCCACACATTCTCAAGAATCCCTTCAGAAGTTGCACCATGGTTACTATGAATATCCATGTTGGTGATTAATGAAGCTAAGGGAGGGAATAAGTGATATTATACGAGTGAATATATATATAAAGCTAGACATGCAAATGATGCAATGTGAAAGGCTGTTTTGACAGCTCATAAGATTTGCTTTGATATGATAAATGAATGGAAACCGAATTGGAAACTTGTGCATTAATACACGCACCAACGAAATTAATGGAGGATTTCAATATTTTCAACATTAAGACGCATTTAATAAAAGTGGAGCACATTTTTTTATTGCTTCCTTCTTGACTTGTGTACTGGTTCAATCATTTGGGACTTTATCCCATGCTGATTTTGCATACCGTGTGCGTTGTATTAGAATACGTTCCTTAATTTCATGGATATAACATTACGAAACAGAGAAGCAGAAGCATCTGAAAGCTGGCAAGGGTGGACTTTGTTGCCTTATTTCGAAGTTTGCAACCATTATAAGTTTGGTAGGACTAATTTAATGTTTTGTAGGTCAAAGTCAAACATTATTTACCGGGGATGTAAGTTAGACGAATTTTATTACTAGGCTTAGCGTAGCGAATAATAATAGTCCTTGCATGGGATCATGACATCATTAGGTGAAAATTCCTTGTTTGTTTCCAGGCAAAAGGTAAAAGAATGAAGGGCACTAGCATTTAATTTATTTGTGAAAAAGTTGATGACATAATCATCATAGATTATTAAATTCTTTTTTATTGATCACGTAAATCAACCCGAGCTTTGTTGCTTGGAGTTACTCCATCTTATTTAAATTGATAATAATTAATTAGTCAAATTACTGACATATGTAATAAAACTTATATTAAATCCTTCCTCAGGGCTACTTTTCTATATCTAAAAAAAAACAACTATATATAATTTATTATTATTTATTTATTTTTATATAAAAACGTTTGTTTTTGATAAAATAAGTATTGTTTATATATATATATATATATATATATGAGGAGGGTTCAAACGATATCGGTGTAACTTTTACAAAGTGTTACACCGCTCAATAATTTTATATTAAATGTAAATTTTGAAAATTCAACCGTTAGATTGAAAGTTCATATCTCTTTGATCATATATATCAAATTTCATATTAATCTAAGATGATTTGATACTTCATTCTCATAAAACAAAATTGACGTAATATATACATTTCAAAATATACTAAAATATGAACACTTTGATTACCTTCAAGTTGTTGTTCAATACTAAGTGTTACACCGCTCAATAACTTTATATTAAATGTGAATTTTGTAAATCCAACCGTTAGATTGAAAGTTCATATCTCTTTGATCATATATATCAAATTTCATATTAATCTAAGATGATTTGATACTTCATTCTCATAAAACAAAATTGACGTAATATATACATTTCAAAATATACTAAAATATGAACACTTTGATTACCTTCAAGTTGTTGTTCAATTTTAACAAAATTTGATATATATGATCTAAAAGATATGAACTTTCAATCTAATGGTTGAATTTTCAAAATTTACATTTAATATAAAGTTATTGAGCGGTGTAACATGAACCCTCCTCTATAATGTGTTTGTTTAAACTTTTTGTTTATTATTTTAAAAAAAGTAAGTTTCTACTTTTCTTTTAAGGAAACAACTCTTATATACTTTTTAAAGAATTTTTTTTATAAAAGTACTTGTTTAAAAACACTTATTTTTAAGTTTAAACAAAAAAATCCTTAATCTTACTAGTGGGATAATTTATGGACTTATTTTTCGTCTCGGTTGTTCATGAGGTTATCACTTATTATTATATCCATTATTGGTAGAAGTATTTTTTTGTCTAAGTTTAATTTATTTGACTTTGAAAGGTAAAAGAAAGCGGATATAGAACACTGATGTGAAGCCATTCCGAATCAAAAGAAGATGGCGTGAAGGAATCTACAATGAGAATTTCTTGGGGCGAAAGAATGGTGGGTTTTGATTATAGAAGTGATGGATTAAAAAAACACGAAACTATGGTATGCACACGGTTGGGCCTTAAAAAATTGTCATCTAGAACGCCACAATCGGAGGGCTAAGAGCTTCTTAGAACTAAAGCAAATCGCTGGTGAATGCAATTGCGGCGCTACGCTCTTGGTTCGATGAACCATGTGTTCAACTTTGTGTGTTTGGTGAAAGAATTTAAAATGGGTTTAGTCAGTGCATTTGAATCAGCCTCAGTATTTAGGTAACATTGACTTGAGCATAAGCACATTTCAGATTGTGTGGTTTGACATCGAAATTACTATCCCTATGGCTATATGGGCTACACTTCTAATGGTCTTGGGCTCGGTTTGTTTTGTGTATTGCCTCTTTGTATGATCCAATGGAAAAAACCATATGAGGTTCCCCAATGGATATTATATTCTCTTAACAATTTTTTTATATAAAGAAAGTAGTAAACGAAAAAGTATATTATTTAAAACAATATAATATAATTTGAAATAAAACACGTAAATTCAAGAGTTAATCATCTATATATTATCTAATCTAAAAAAAATTTACACTGTCAATCATTCATATCTTTTAATAGTATCATATCATTTTCTTATTTAATCAAATAAAAATAAAATAAAATAATTTAAAAGATATAATTGGTTATCAGTATAAAAAACTTTACACTAGCAGTGTATAGATGATTAACTCTATATTCAATATTTACCATAAGAATAAAGTTGGATGAGTAGAAAGAGAATATTAAAGAATTTATAATTATTTTAAAAATAATATTTATGTCTCTCTCTTTGTTTCATTTTAAACACCGGTATATATGATTTCTCTCTTTTGATGCCAAGTGTCAAATATATATACAATTTTTTTCCTGCTCAATTTTATAAGAATAAGAAAGTTTTTTTTTTTCTTTATAAGCTTTCCTGAATGAAGTGTTGGTTGGGTTGGTATCTCTATTGAAGTTTGGAAGTGTATAGGATAATAAAAATAACAAATTCCATTTTCTTTGATATAATTTATTTAAACAAATGAAAATTGAGGATAACCTAAAAGAGAGAGGAAAAAAATAAACATTCTCAGAAAAAAAATTACAAATCAAAGGGCAACTTAGGATGAGTAGCTACTCCCCTCATCTCATCTTGTACATGATGCCAACAGAGGCTTGCTTTTTTTTGGAAAATGTTAATGGACACCCGATTTTAGTCTATACCCATGCATAGTAAAGATTTAAAGAAATAGAAGAGAGAGAGGTGATAGATATATGCAGGTCTATAATGCATAAAAAGACAAAGTCAGAAAAAAAAAATGAAGAGTGTATCAATGAGGTATTGGTATAGTTGGGTGTCTAAAAAATATTATTTGATTTTGATACAAATAGTATCGGTCAGTGAAATGGGAAACAGTTTTTGAACATAAAATTGAAACAACAAAAAGTTATAATATTTCTTTCGATTTTAGGGTGTTTATAATATATATATATATATACATATATATATATATATATATATATATATTTTCACTACTAC